TAATTGTTTAATAAATAGGTAGGTATCTAATTTCAATTTGTTTGTATTTTTATTTAAAAAATAGGTAGTTTGGAATGTTTAAGCTGTGTTTAACATTTAATTTCACTGAAAACTTAAAGCAAATTAAAACTTAAAGATAATTTAAATCGTAGAAAAAGAATCGTGCGTTTTCTTGGTTGCCTAACCTCACTTTTTGTTTTATTATTCATATTTAATTTTACAATAATTTAATGAAAAATTTTAAACATTAACAGTAAAACAAACAAATTAGTGCTTATTATAAATAAATTAAACCAGTTTAGTACGTTAATTTCTTAGAAAAGGATTAATTTGTCAAAACAATACCCCTAGCGAGAAAAAATCGAACTAATTACTTGCCTCATAAAATTTTTTATCGGCCTGGGCCATAACAAGGTATTTCTTTATCGAATGTTGACAACAATAAAGTTTAAATTATAGACCGCGTGGAGATAAAAGTATTTAAATATATTATTTTCTGGTAAAAACTGTTTAAAAATTATTTAGGTATAATTAAATAATATTATTTTATTATAATCTTACAATTATTGTGCTAATACCTTTTTAATTATTGTTATTGATTTTAAAACATATATTTGCAAGAATCAGTGCTATAATTATGCATATTTTTATATCCATAGGTTCAATAAGTTTCATTTTGATAAAAATTTGTTTTGTCTTCTGTCTATAATAATTATCAGTTATTTATTATTTACAGGAAAAAAATGGGGCATTTTGTCTTTAATATGCTTATGCATACATACATAACACATCCAAAAATGGTTGCTATGGAAACCATTTCAGATGTTGCCATGGTTGACAGATTTACTTTCTGGTTTGTTTCAAAAGTTTTTAAGATTTTTGTAAACCTTGCAACCTACCATAACAGTCAGCCATTGTGTCTTGTGGTGGCAAGGGTCAGCAACAATCAGAACCACGATAAAGTCAACAGTTCTATTGTAACAAAAACGATAAAGTTTGTAGTCAAAAGAATAACAATAACAGTAAATGGCAGTAGAGTTTGGCGGGGATGGGGCGGCGTAAAAGGGTCGTGGCGGCGGTTCGTAGGGAATTTCAACGTCTTTTGACCAATTTTTGTGAATTGAAGACGATATCTCTGTTCCAAGTGTAATGGTAACTGCACTTCATACTACACCCGATGGAAAATAGGTCCATTAAGGCGGGCAAACATGGGAGCACTAAGGCTGGATGGACGCGGTCCCGAATCAAAGCGATGGTCACGAATTTAACTCGACGAGATCGCAACAAGATGCGGCACGTTATTCTGGCGTATGCAACGTGGTTTAGCCGTGCGGATTTGGAACGCGAGCTGTCTAAAGCGCGAGCGAATGGCGACTGGTTGTCCTTTGAATTGGCGGCCCCCCACCCCTGTGACGCCACTGATAAAACCGAGTCTCAAGTCGGGGACCTACGACCACACGACATCTTTTTTATCTATTGTGATAAGCTTAAGGGGGGCTACTTCAATACGTTTTTATCCTATAAAAAAAATTTTCTTAAATGAAAATTTATATCTAATTTAACTGAAAAATATTTAATCTCATCCATACATTTTCATAAATTTTTATCCAATAAATAGTGATTTTGCTGTATAAAAGTAAAACATTGTAAGTATATAAAAAATACCTTTTTAATCTATGAATTTTTTTGTTATATGAAATGTTTTATATAGTATTTAAGTTTTTTCTGAAATAAAAAATAATCTTTGATCTTGTCCATACATTCCATATAAAAATACAACTTTTTCTTCAATGAAATCTTTTATCTCATAAAACTGTTTCTCCAATGAAAAATGTTTTCTGTCGTCTTTGATCTCACCCATACATTTTTATCCTATGAAAACTTTTATATAATTTTTTGATCAAATCCATACATTTTTATCCTATAAAAACTTTTTAATAAAAATTCTTGATGAAATGTTTTATCTATTAAAATTTTTTCTGCCATCTAAGTAATGAAATGTTTTTCTTAAATTATTTTTTTTTATAAAACGGATTGATAAAATCAAGAAACACTAAATTTCAAAGATAGGTTTTAAAAATTATTTTATAATATTTTAGGTAAGTAAGGTTTAATTTTAAATTATAAGTTTATATTATATTAGAAAGGTACCTATAACGCAAACATTTCCAATAAAAATACGATTTTGTCTCATACAACTTTTTCTTCAATGAAAATACTTTTTATATAAAATGTTTTATCTAATAATAAAATTTCTCCAATGAAAAAGGTTATGCCATCTTTGATCTCATCTGTACATTTTTATATGAAATCCTTTATATAGTACCTAAGCTGATTTTTTTTTAATAAAAAATGATCTTTGATCTCACCCTTGCATTTTTATCCTATAAAAACTTTTAAATATTTTTTTGATCTTATCTATACATTTTTATCATATGAAATGTTTTTCTTCAATGAAAATTCTTGTTGTATGAAATATTGTATCTAATAAAACTTTTTCTCTAATGAAAAATGTTTTCTGCGTCTTTGATCTCACCCATGCATTTTGAAATGTTTTACTTAAATGAAAATGGGTCTGTAAAACATGGATTGATAAAATCAAGAAACACTCAATTTTAAAAATAGGTTATAAACATTATTTTAAAATATTTTAGCTAGGTATTAAGGTTTATTTAAGAATTAATTTTATATTATAAATATTTGAAAGGTAAAACACAAACATTAAATGTATTAAATATGAAATTTTCATATAAAATTACGATTTTATCTCACAACTTTTTCTTCAATGAAAATTCTTTTTATAATCCTATGAAAACTTTTAAATAAAGTTTTAATCTTATCCAAACATTTTTATCCTATAAAAACTTTACAATATTTATAATAGTGAAATGTTTTTCTTCAATAAAAATTCTTCTTGAATAAAATGTTATATCTAATAAAACTTTTTCTCCAACGAAAAATGTTTTCTGCCGTCTTTGATCTCACCCATACATTTTAATCCTATGAAAACTTTAAATAATGTTAAGATCTTCATATTTTTATCCTATTATAAAAATTATTGAAAAATAGTAAATATCTTTATTGGAATAAACCAAAAGGCTAATGAGGTTTTCATAGGATTAAAATGTATGGGTGAGATCAAAGACAGCAGAAAACATTTTTCATTGGAGAAAAAGTTTTATTAGATTATAGGTACCATTTTATTCAAGAAGAATTTATTTTAGAAAAAATGTTTATTTTAAATAATTATAAATATGGCATATAAAAATACGATTTGATCCCAAAAAGTTTATTCTTCAATGAAAATTCTTCTTATATATAAAACTTTTAATCTAATAAAAAAAAATTCTAAAGGAAATTTTTGATGTCCCTGTGCATGTTTATCCTATAAAAACTTTTAAATAATTAATTTTTTTCTAAAATGAAATTTTTTATCCAATGAAAAAAGATTGATATCCGTTTTGGCCATTACAATTTATTTTTAAAATTAAAAAATCTTATACTATTCTATGAAAACTTTTAAATAATGACAATTTTTATCTAATGCCATTAGAATTCATTTTTTAAAAATTACAATTTATACTTAAATTTAAAAATCTTGTATTCAAGCATGTTTTTTATTTATTTTATTTTAGAGAAGAAAGCCCCCTTAAGTACTTGTTTTAATGATGACAATTATAATTGTTGTTAAATCTTGTGTTTTCCAATGTTTTTCTTAATCAATTAATCAAATTTGATGTTAACTTTATCTTTATAGCTGCAGATACCTTGTGTATTTTGCTTCCATAATGACAATTTTTAGATGTTTAATATTTTGGCTGTTTGTTAAACTTAAATGCTAAAACATTTGAAAAAAACATGTTGGATTGTTCCTCAATATTTTTTTGTTAAATCTGGCACTTAATTTTAATATAAGTAATAAGAATAATCTTATAATAAATTAATATTTTTATTAAATTTGGAGGATATATATTTTTTAACCCATAAAAACCATAAAAAAAACAATATTAATTTTAAAAAATTACAAAAAAAAATAGATTTTTAACCTAAGAAAATTTTTCTTAAATGAAAATATTTATCCAATGGGACTTTTTCTCTAAAGAAAAATGTTTTATAGCGTCTTGGATGAAATTTTTTCTTAAATGCAATTTTTAATTGAAAGAAAACTTTATGTAGGTAGGTATTAAAAATTGTTATCCGATGAGAATTTCTCTAAAATAAAAATGATTTTTACCGTCTTTGATGAGATCATCCAAATCCATGAGGTTCTCCAAGTTCTCCAATATGTGAGAAGCAACCTCCGCCTTGGACTCGCATGCTTCCAAATCTGTTTCAAACTTCACATCGTCGATTACTTGATAAAAGGTGTCGTCGGATTCCAGGTAGTACACCTCATTTAGAGGCGACTCCGGCTCCTGCTTCCACTGTAGCACAGAATCCATTTTTCAGGGAAATTGTGCTACCCGAAGTCAAAATTGGGGAAAGAGTGTTTAAGAGAGTGATTTGTGCCGGGGATGCTGCGGCAAGCAAAGTAAACGCCATGGTGGCACTGAAAAAAGAAAAACGTCATTAATTTGACCAAAACTAAGAAAATAGGGTATTAAAATAGCCTATTATACATTTAAAAAATGACAGAAATGTCAATGTTATTAAAGTGACAGATTACTAACCAATAAGGTAAAAGTTTGAAAATAGCCCACTTCATGCATTTTATTATCGATATTCTTTTTAATCTAATTAAGCAGACTAAACATCTTCTGGAAATAGTTAATTTTAACACTATGAACCGTAAAATAGATAACGGTACCAAAATAAAATGTTTATTAACATTTGAAGACATGTGATTGGTGTAATTTCAAAAATAATCCAACGAATGAGAAATTCAATGAAAAAAAAACAAACAATGCGTAAACTAGAGCAGGTCATGGATTCGCAGGTGAAAGGTGCCCACAAACAAAAAACAATTTTACAGGCAAAAAACATATTAAAAAGGTTCTACTTACAACATATTTACTAAATGTACTGGCACACGTGAGTGTGCAAACGTTGAGGTACTAGAAACCCATCTTAGCGGCTTTATTTGCTGTCGAAAAAAACTTTAGCACTTTACAGGTCCATGGGTGAAACAACAATGGCCGATCGCCAAACAAAATGCCGCGATGACGTCACGCGCAGGCTCATTTACGCGGGAATTCGGATTGATCAAGATTGCGAAATCCAAGTAAAACGCTATTAATATTTGTTCAGTGATAAACCAGAGATATCTCTGGATAAACCAAATCACTGAATGATCAGGGTTTATTTAATTCATTTGTTTAGTACAGTGTTTAGCGATAATTCAGTTTTTTAAATCGTAGTTTTGTGTAAATATAGAGGAATTAATGTTTTAGTATATCCCCACTTATATTTTCACATTCTTTATGCTGTATTTGGGATAATTAGGACGACTTTCTAATTTGCCAATATGTCAAGTAAACATCTTGCTACAGGTTTGTACCTTTAAAAAAATTTAATTAAAGAAAAAACGCAACCCAGGAGAATAAAATTATTGTATTTCAGGCGATTTCCTTCCAGATTTAACCAAGGACAAAATAACGCTATTTTCTATGCTGTTCTGTCCATTTGCTCAGCGCGTGAGACTGATTTTGGAGTACAAAGGATTAGATTACAAAGTCGTCAACGTAAATCTTAAAAGTAAACCCGATTGGTTGGTACAGTTGAACCCTAAGAGCGAGGTTCCGATACTTTACATAGATGGCGCTTTTATCAGCGGGAGTGTGGAAATTTGCGATTTTCTGGATGAAAAATATCCAGAACCGAGTTTGTATGCTAATATCGTCGACAAAAGTAATGAAAGTAGCTTGGTGAGCAATGTAAGTCCGCTTATTGCACTGTATTACAAGGCTGCATGGAAAAAGGATGATAAATCTTTTGAAGAACATATGAATGGAATGAAGCCACATCTGGAAGAACTAGAAAATAAGTTGAAGGATAGCGATTTTCTTGGAGGCAATTCTCCAAAATTTGCGGATTTTATGATATGGCCGTGGTTTGAAAGGGCAGAAGTATTATCCATGACATACAATGAAAAACTGCCATACAATAAGTTTCCTATGCTAACCAAATGGTGTGAGAACATGAAGAAACAGGAATGTGTTTCTAAAGTATTAATTGAACCAATTAGACACCACAAAGCTGCCCAATTTCATTTAGGAGCCCCTCCATTGTATGATGAGATATAAAATGTAATAAATAAAAACAGTTTTAATTAAGTACGTTTTAATAAGGAAGCCCCAACATTGCCATAATAGCAATAGTTGCAAGCTTAATGTGATACTTTTTACAAAATTTACAAAACTTGTCGGGGCCGATATAAATGGCGTCACAAGCAGGCTGCTTGCGCATCTCTATCCACCATTTTCTCATGTTCGGCATGTCGTCCACCTTTAAATTCAAGGACGACGACATTGCGAAAAATTGCGGATCGACGAAGAAATTCATCAGCACTTTTTCTTTCGTTTCCTTGTCGACAACGGCAACGCAGTACGCCTTTACGTCCCAAGGCCACAGCGTGTAGTCCACCTAAAACGGCATGTTTTATTTGCCTCATATTTTTAACCACACGTTTCAAAGTTGCCTAAAGAAGTGACTTCTGCCTTCGGAAGGCAGCCTTCCTCTCTTCCAAGCTGACAGCCAAGATACATACAGTAGAAACCACCAATATATGAACGTGACTCATCGGGTGCCGAACATATCTCAGACATGCTAGCAGTAATGTTTTACTTGACTTGTAGGTACATTCGATGCAGCGGTAAATGTACTCACACGTAGGTTTTTAAGCATCCGGTCTAAAATGCGCCATCTGTGATGTGATCTCACTTTACACTGCCTAGGCCTAGGTGTTCGACAAAGATGGACATATGACGCGTGTCCTAGCTTGTTACTTAATTTTGTTGGAATTCAGTAGAGTTCGTGTTTTAGGCAATTTATTTTATTTTATTACATAGCGAATTCACCGAACGGTCAATTTACGTAAATTTTGCGTTGATTTAGCGTTGATTTCATAAATTTTAACGCAAGTTGCCATTTTTTGAGTTAAAATATTGGATTTTAACGTACAGTTGGCGCAAAAAAAATGCGTTAAGTTGAGCCAAAACGTAACTCAAATTTGACTAAAATTTAACGTAAGTTTTGCGATAACAACCAAAAAATTAACTATAAATAGACTTAAAATTGATTGATTAGGTAACCGATTTTACTCTAAAAAATTTTGTATAATATATTTGCGTTGAATTTGCGTTGATTTTGCGTTTATTTTGAGTCAATTTTGACTTTTTGTTTAGGTTACCGATTTTGTTCAAATATTTTTTGTATAAAATATTTACGTTGAATTTGCGTTGATTTTGCGTTCATTTTGAGTCAATTTTGAGTATTTGGTTAAGTTTTCCGATTTTACTTTAATATTTTTTGTAATATTTGCGTTAAATTTGCGTTGATTTTGCGTTCATTTTGAGTCAATTTTGACTTTTTAATTAAGTTATCGATTTTACGCGAACATTTTTTGAATAAAATATTTGCGTTAAATTTGCATTGATTTTGAGTTTATTTTGAGTCAATTTTGACTTTTTATTATAATTTTATTTTTTTTATTTCTTTTTATAAAAAATTTCTTAAATTTGCGTTTACTTTGCATTAAATTTGTGTTTCTTTAGAGTCAATTTTGAACAACCAAAAAATTAACTATAAATAGACTTAAAATTGATTGATTAGGTAAACGATTTTACTTTAAAAAATTTTGTATAAAATATTTGCGTTGAATTTGCGTTGATTTTGCGTTTATTTTGAGTCAATTTTGACTTTTTGGTTAGGTTACCGATTTTACTTAAACATTTTTTGTATAAAATATTTACGTTGAATTTGCGTTGATTTTGCGTTCATTTTGAGTCAATTTTGACTTTTTAATTAAGTTATCCATTTTACGCTAACATTTTTTGAATAAAATATTTGCGTTAAGTTTGCGTTGATTTTGCGATAATTTTGAGTAAATTTTGATTTTTTCTTGAAAGTCCCTAAAAATTACTTTATTTGATTTTTTAAACTTAATTTTATTTGGACATTAATGTCTAACTAAAATTAACTTAAAATATTATTATTAATTATTGATTAAAATCAAAAGCATATGGAAATAAATCATAATATACAGGGTGTTTCATAATATATGCGCAGGACTTCAGGATGTGATAACTCCAAAAAGATGAAAAAAGTCGCTATTAACTTACGCTCTAAAATGCACAATTTTCGAGATACAGGGTGTTGAAATTTTAGAAAAAAAATCGTTTTTTTCGAATACCTCCGGAACCGTTTATCGTACAAAAAACAGATTTTGTAACCATTTTCTACTCAAAATAAGCTATGTTTTGTGCCAGAAACATTTCTTTTTCCTCATAATTGGTGGAGATTTTGAAGGGGTAGCGGGTGTTTTTTTCCTCAACTTCTAGGCCCCTGAAAAATGTACGGTTTTGAGAGGCCTATTCGAACCGCCAATGTTTTCTACACAAAAAAGGTACTCTTGGTCATAAGCTCTAAAGTTGACCGTTTTCGAGAAAAATCAAATTTTATGTTTAAAAACATGGTCAATTTAAAAAAAAATTTTTTTTTACTAATTAAACAAAATTTATTTTAACGTTAGAACAAGTAACAAAACCAAACCATAATTGCAAAATAAAAAATGATTCAAAAGTTGTCTTTGCTAATTTCTCCAAACCGTAAAGGTAACGCATTTCGAACATTTCAGCATTTGTGTAAAAAATCATTTTTTATTTTTTTTTTTAATTTTGCAATTATCGTTTGGTTTTGTTACTTTTTCTAACGTTAAAATAAATTTTGTTAAATTAGTAATAAATTTTTTTTTTTTAATTGAACATGTTTTTAAACAAAAGTTGATTTTTCTCGAAAACAGTCAACTTTAGAGCTTATGACCAAGAGTACCTTTTTTGTGTAGAAAAAATTTGCGGTTCGAATGGGCCTCTCAAAACCGTACTTTTTTCAGGGGCGTTAAAGTTGAGGAGAAAAACACCCGCTACCCCTTTAAAATCTCCACCAATTATGAGTAAAAAAAAATTTTTTTTGGCACAAAACATAGCTTATTATGAGTAGAAAATGCTTACAAAAGCTGTTTTTTGTACGACAAACGGTTCCAGAGATAATCGAAAAAAACGATTTTTTTTTTCTAAAATTTTAACACCCTGTATCTCGAAAATTGTGCATTTTAGAGGGTAAGTTAATAGCGACTTTTTTCATCTTTTTGGATGAGCTATCACATCCTGAAGTCCTGCGCATATATTATGAAACACCCTGTATATTAAAAATCTATTTAAAAAAAATAGTATGTCCAATATTTGCGTAAGTTTTGCGATAACTGTTTAGCTAAGAAGATTATATAGGTAATCTATATAATATAATCTTATGTTTAGCTTTATAAACGTCAATTTTCAAATTGCGCGCTCAACAGCGCTCAACAGCGCCAAGCGGCGAAACAAAGACACAACTTGTGTCACACAAGAATTTGGAAATGGCCGAAAGAAAGTGGCACAAACATTAGCATCTTTTAATGTTGTAATTTTACATATTTTAATTAGTTTATCAACTCACAAGTGTGCATTGTATTGCACGAATTATGTGCAATAAAGTGATAAAAAAAAAAACGTGTAGGTATTAATGAAAATGTGAATGCCAGTTCATCAACAAAGAAAACAACGAGGGTGAATAAAACATCACCCCTTTACATGGTCCTTCGAAAGCAGATGAAAGAAAAATCCACACCTATGGATATTCTGGACATCGGTTTAACAAAAATCGTAAAAAAAAACAGTCAAAAAGCCGGTAAGTCTCTCCATCCTTCTTTATCCATTTCATTTCGTATCGCTCTGTCTCACTCGTCCTCGAGGCAACGTGGTCCTGTAGGTTAGTAATCTACCGGTAAAATATAAACAAATAAACCTATTTAAAAAATTGACTCATAAGAGTTGATTTAAAATTTAAATTTTAAATACATTGCAATTGAGTTTAATAACAATTGTTGATTCGTTGCTCGCTCAAACAAAATATTTTTAAAACAAATTACACATAAGTATTTTAGTTAAAAACTTCTCAAATTATCTACAAAAAAAGAAAAAATTCAACCACTTAAAAACGCAATTCTTTAAAATCACAATTAAACAGATTCGATCAATTTGTAGACACATTTGAGACAAATAAATCATTTATAGAATTGGAAACTTGATTAGGTACAAATAATTAATGAAACTTATTTGAAATTTATAGACATAAACAACAAGTTAGTCACCTTAATACCATCTTCTGAACTACTTAGATGATAACTCAACCGAACTGTCAGAATTTGAAAATTCTTATTTTCGAATTATTTCAGCAGCAAAGGTGTTAATTAAACAAAATCAAGACACAATCGTATGCAATACAAATCCATCAATTTAGTCTAATCAAGATTTTAATATTTCAAGCATAACAGATATAACACCTTAAGACTTAAGTTAAGTTAAACTACCCACTCTAAATTTACCAGAATTTAAGGGTGAATATGACCAATACTACAATCCATAAACATTTCTGATGACAACTATGTAGTGGCGTGGAACCTTTTAAAGGAGCGTTTTGAAAATAATTTACCCACAATAAAACAAGAAAATCATAGAGCTTTAAGAAATTTGGTTGACAATTTTCTAAAACATTATCGATCTTTAAAATCATTGGGACAGCCAGTTGAAACTTGGAATACACTTTTAATATTTATAATATCAAGAAAATTAGACAACAAAACCAAACTACAATGGCAATTAACCAATTTGTCTGATTTTCCAATTATTAGAAAACATTGAACCAAACACAAATAAGTATGATAAATCAAGTCACAAATTATGTTTAAACTGTTTAAGGCCTGGTCATTTTAATTCAGAATGTAAATCCAGTTTATGTAAACACTGGCAAGAAGCACAATTAACTATTGCACTTAAATTCAAACAAAACACAAAACCAAAATAATACCCAAAATAATTCTCAACTTGTACAAAACCCAAGTACAAATTCAAATAATAATTTACCCAAACCAATGTCAAATTCTCAAACAGAAAACACAACTATTAATCATCAGTATGTGCAAAAAAAGCAACAAAACATTTTATTATCGTAAGTAATATCATAAGGGCATTTAATTTTTCCGAAAAAAATCAACACGTTGCTAAGTAATATTTTTACAAAAAGCATGAGTGCTGGTGGCAACAAAAATCCGAGTCGAAGAGGAGGATTTTTGAACCTGCACGAATGCTTTTTTTTTTAAATATTACTTAGCATTGTGTTTTTTCGATTTTTTTCACAGGAAAAATTAGATGCCCGAATGGTATTTGACAAGACTATTTCATGAGTAACAGTTAACAATTAAAATATAAATTGCAATTTTTGGTGACAACAGCTGTCAAGTTTTGCCGCGGGTAAACTTGAAAAAACTGCTGACAGGTGCTGTCACACAGTTTTTTTTACCTAGAAACCATTTGTAATTCAAAATTGCG